GTTGTAGTTGGTCACAATATCTTTATTTATTTTTATGTGGTGCTGAGAATCGAACCCAGTGCCTCACATGTGCATGGCAGGCTCTCTACCACTGAGCTACAGCCCAGTTTCTAAAGGTCATTTACTACTAACAACCTATTTCTAAAGGTCATTTACTACTAACAACCTATTTCTAAAGGTCATTTACTACTTTGACCAGAGGGAATAAGACAAAAAAGAACTATTGATATGCTCAGAAAGCAAGAGATTAGGCATTTGGTCCAAAGGTCAAGTGATCATGGTAGAATGCCTATGTGTGAACATGTAGTAGTTGGAAAGTAGAATTGCTTCTGTGGTTTCTGTCACAGGAAATGTACAGGCTGGAGAAACTGTGCTAATCCACGCAGGGGCAAGTTCTGTGGGCATAGCTGCCATCCAACTCACCCGGATGGCTGGCGCTATTCCTCTGGTCACAGCTGGATCCCAGAACAAGCTTCAAATGGCAGAAAAGCTTGGAGCAGCTGCTGGATTCAATTACAAAGAACAGGATTTTTGTGAAGCAACACTGAAATTTACCAAAGGTAAAAAACTGCTTCTACAGTTCAACAGGAATTTCAGAGGTGATTAAACAAAAATCCTCACCAGATCCAAGGCTGCCAGTCCTCTCCATCAGTCTTGCCTCGGCTAAATACACTACAGCTGCTCTGGTCAAATTCTAGTATTCTTGTGTTTGACCACGGGAGACAGGCAGCCAGTACTTATTTAGGTCTAAGATGTTTTCCATGTGCATTCTTGAATGATATGATTCATGCATACTTTAGAAACTGGATAATCAGGCAGATTATCCTGATTATTATTCCCAACTAGCCAATCTTCAGTGAGTTAACAGGAAGCCTAAGACAGAGTACACTCATAGTAGGGTTTGTGTGGGAGCTTCCTAAATGAATGAATAGATGGGTTTATGTCTATATACCAAGACCAAATATGGATATTTTTTGCTAATTCCTTTTCATTTTTCATATGAGAAGAAAGGGACCAATAAAAACAAAGTTAGGAAGTCTGTGATTCTGATGTCCCAGTGCATAACTTCCATGTTAGCCTGCCTTATAACCTGAGGTGGCTTTCCTCTGTTCTGCTCTTGCTCACTCCTGGGTGAGAGGAAATACCAGGTTATATTGTTGTACTATTTCCTTCTTATGGTGGGTAGTGATCAGAAAAGATGAACTCTATTATACATGCTATGATAGAGTTCATTACCTAAACTCTATTCACAACAATGTTTCTATGACCAATGTTTCTAGTTCTATCATACATTTACCATTTGCATCTGTATTTATTTTTACCCATATATCTACAAACATACCATGGAATTGTATTCCAAGTTTTCTGTGGCTGATTAATATTACAAATCTGTTTCCTATGGAAGGTGCTGGAGTGAACCTTATTCTGGACTGCATAGGTGGATCCTACTGGGAGAAAAATGTCAACTGCCTGGCTCTTGATGGTCGATGGATTCTCTATGGTCTGTTGGGAGGAGAAGATGTCAATGGGCCCCTGTTTTCAAAGCTATTTTATAAACGAGGAAGTCTGATCACTAGTCGGTTGAGAAATAGGGACAAGAAGGTGAGTGAGGAATGAAAAGAAAATGTGACTGATCTATTTACCCAGAAAATTGTGCTTTGTTTACATTATACCCAGAATTGAAAGCCTACAAAGAAACCTGCCACCTTGTGGATAAATAGTTTCAGAGAACTAATTCACATCAGTCAACAGAAGCTTCTGCATCTTGAAAAGAGTGTAGCTAGTACTTTGTATACATAACTTTCTAACAGAATGGACAAAGCTTTGACCATATTAGGAAGACTTCTAAGAGTTCCAAGACTTTGTTTTCAAAGGCAGAACTCTTCTCAGTGTGCTAAGAAAGCTTATCAAGCAAGTAAGTCCCTAGCTTCAACAGATTATATGTTCCTACCATTTTTTCTGTATGATATTCTAACAGATGCCAACTTTGGGAATGTCTCCCACTAAAGGGATTCACATCTTTAGGGGAGAGCGAAGTTTAGCGTTCCTTTTGCACTGACACTACCTGAGTCCTGTCTGTGTCTGCCTCTTGCATGACACCTTTATTTATATATATTTATTTATTTATTTATTTATTTTTAGAGAGAGAGAGAGAGAATTTTTAATATTTATTTTTTAGTTTTTGGCGGACACAACATCTTTGTTTGTATGTGGCGCTGAGGATCGATCCCAGGCCGCATGCATGCCAGGCGAGCGCGCTACCGCTTGAGCCACATCCCCAGCCCAATGACACCTTAAGTCTTTACCTGGTATTGTACAGAGGTTACACATTTGGGAGCATGCAGCTACATAATGGGAAGTGAGCAGATGTGCTTTTTTACACGTAGGTAGGGCATTAAGGCTAAGCAGGAGAGGAAGTGAGAGGTTGGGTAAAGCCTCTGTCCAAACTCACAGTCTCCTTTTCTTTATCTTAGTACAAGCAAATGCTGGTGAAAGCGTTCACAGAGCAAATTCTGCCCCATTTCTCCAAGGAGGGACCCCAACGTCTCCTGCCAGTGCTGGACAGAGTCTACCCAATGGCTGAAATCCAAGCCGCCCATAAGTACATGGAGGCTAACAGGAACGTGGGCAAAATCGTCCTGGAATTGCCCCAGTGAAGAAGGGGGCGATGCAGGACACCCGTCACCCCGGGCTTTCCCAGAGTGAACTTGGAGAGGGTGCTCCTCTCAAGTCCTCCTCGTCAACTGATCGTGTAAAGCTGGTCTAAGTAAATAAAGAGTGGACTTGAAGGGTGGCGTACTCACTATAGGCAGCCACAGCTCACGGGCTGTGGCAGGAGTGAGGGGGGGGGCGTTCAGGCCCGTCACTTGATGCTGGACTGAGGCCCACACCACCGCTGGGGTGCCGGGTACGGTTACAGCTTAACCACGACACACACAGCCAGAACTACACACTTGACTTCGCGCACTGCTGAAGGGCCACGTCCGCTCCCGAGTCCCCTGCGCTCGGCTGTACTCCGACTACTCAACCAGGGCCTTGTCCTACCTAGCCTTCGCTGCCCAGACCCCGCCCCTCCGACCGGCCCCTTGCTACACAGAGCTGTCCCGGCCAGAACCCCGCCCCTCGTAGAGCACAAGCCCCGCCCTTTCCGGCTCATAACCCGGAAATGTCTTGGGCGCTCTCATTTTTACCTTCCGGTCTGTCTTGGATCTCAAGCTAGATTGATACTGGGAGAGTGGGATGCTGCGTCAGCACGTCTCGGCGTGAGGCTGTTGTATTCCGGCAGTGCTGTAACAGCTTCCGGCGGGATCTGGGTGTTAACACTTTACCTCAGAAGCCGTGTTGCGCTCGAAGGCAAACGCATTCCGGAGAGGTCCGGAGGAATTCTGTGTTTGCTGCGGTAACCTCTTCAGCCCGCCAAGATGGCGATGCAAGCGGCCAAGAGAGCGAACGTGAGTACCGGGCCATATGCGGAATAGGGGAAGGACTTCGCTGCTTGGCTTTTGGCGGCCTCGGTCAAAACGTCCTGCCCTTCTCCTTCCCCCAAACGGGGAAGTTAAGAATTTTCCATCGGGGGAGGGGGGGATGGTGTCCAGGGCCTGTCCTCAGGGGGCCTGTGCCTGAACCACACTTCCGCCCCACCCCCTTTGGAGTTCCTCGTCTCCTGGCGCCAGTGACCGGTTGGCTCTGCAGCCTGTTGACTCTCCCCCAGGATCTGGTGTTAGGATCTTCTTTTTGGCCTAAAAGTCGATAGCATAGACTAGTAAGCAACTCTGTGGTTCACTGGCAACTAAAGCCCGGGATTCTCAGGTCATGAAGCTTTTGGGTCCTTCATTAACACATTAATCCAACAATTTTATTGAACACCTGTTGTGTACTTGGCTTTCGAGTTGGGAAGCAATTCATCAGTTTTACTTATTGAATTCCGACTCTGTGCCGGACACTAGTCTTAGGTACTAGGGACACAGTAGTGAATAAAACAAAAAGTCCTATGCTTGCATTCTAAGAGAGTGGAATGTTATGGAAACATTTTAAAAATAAAACCTCAAGTAAAGATGAAGCCAGGTAGTTAACTTGATATGTTGAGATGTAGATTTTTGTGTGTGTGTGTGTGACTTTGATGATAGCAAATATTTCACTGGATGAAAACTTGGTTGTAGTAGGATGAAAAGAGGTGAAAGTTGAGAAAATGAAGACAACAAAGAGCTCTTTCCATGAGTCTTTGTTATGAATAGAGAACAGAGAAGTTGGGTGATAGTTTGCTTTAAAAAAAAAAAAAGATACATGACATGTATTTGTATTCCAGTGAGAATACTCCAACAGATTAGAAGAAACATGGTATGGAAGAAAGACAGGTTTTGAGTACATGAACGGATGGCATAGTAATAGAAGGAATGTGGATGGAAATAGATGAATGACGTTTGGTCAGTTCAGTGATAGGAATATAAAGTACTTACTATTTTATCTCATCTATTTTCTTCAAGAAGCAAGAGCCAGGGTCATCTCCTGGGATGGGAAGGGAAGAGTGTACAGTCCAACTCAGATGTGAGAGGGAATGATGGTTTAAGGTATGCAGAGAGAAAGTGTAAGATGGTGCTTAGCAGAGTGAGAAAACAAATCTCCTAGAGAAGTATATATTATGATTGGTGGTGTCAATTTTTGTACTTAACCTTGAATCTTGAAATCTAAAACCTTATTGTAATTTTTCATTTTATTACCATTGTTAGTTTGAAGACAGGGAATAGTATATTTTTAAAAAAATTTATTTATGTGGTGCTGAGGATCCAACCCAGTGTCTCACATGCTGGGCAAGCACTGTACCAGTGAGTTACAACTTCAGCCCAGGGAATAGTATCATAATCTTCTACTAATATGATACTTAGCTTAATGGTAAATATTTTTGGTTTTCAGTTTAATAAATACTTTTTGAGCAGATTTGTGTCTAGTATGTAATAGAACTTGTTAACTACAGAGAGTCATCACCATAGACCAAAGAGTATGAAGAATCAAGGAGAGTATACAGCAGGTCAAGAAAAGAAGTTGACAATAAAGCCCTGTGGAACAACACATTTTAATGTCAAAGAACACTGAAAATAAATAGCAAATCAAAATTAGGAGAAAATAGTGTCACGAAGGGACTAAACAGCAGTGTCAAAAGCCTCAGAGAAGTTCAAGAATTGAACACTGCAATTAAAAAGTCTTAGTAAATAAGAGCTCTTTTAGCAAAGCGCTGGGGTGGAAACTTAGGTTTGAATGTCAACACAGTAAAGAACATGAGTCAGTTAATATAGACTTTTTCTATATGCTTGACAAGAAAAAAAAGAGAAGATAGGATATAAAGAGAGAGAGAAAGCTGTTAAGTTCAGAGAAGGCAGAACTCTTGTCTTTTTTTCTTTAACTGTCTATTCTTAATATCTTCCCTGGTATAAACATAAAAAAGGAACTAAGTATTTGTTGAATGAATGAAGAGGGATCCAAATAAGCATTTTGTGTAAGGATTGGCATGAGCACCTGCTAATATGCGGAACAGGAGAAGCCATTGGGGAGGGAAAGCATGTAAAGACAAGAGAGATCATTGATATAAGAAGTTTGAAAAAAACCAAAGAAGGGTTACTAGTGGAAGTTTTATTGTGTGGCAAATAGGACAGTTCCCTTCTTTCCTATAGAAAGGTGATCTGAGGCTTCAAGGATTTTTGAGTAAACAATGATTGAGTTGGAAATCCTTGTTAAACTGTAGCGACCAAAAGCCTGGTTTTTGTAATAGCCCCTTTTTAGTTCCTACTAATGGTCTTCCCTTAGAATCAATGCTCTCTTGTTTTGCTGAAGATCATTGCATTTTTAGTAACATCAGATTATACTTCTAATTCTTGGCATTTTATTATTATGTATCATTGAGATTTTTTTTTTTTTTTG